TTTCTCTTTGAATTTTTCCTAATGTATCATTCTTTGTTGTATATGTTTCTTTTTGTATATCTTCCTTTTCTATTTCAAATAATTGAATCAAGACACTATCATTTTCATCTTTTATTTGGTCTTCTAAGAACACGACATCCCGACTTTCTATGAATTCAATAGATCCATCAGATTTATAATTTATGAATTTGTAACCTTTGTTGTTTTCAGAATATCCTATAAAGGTGCATCTTATGCTTTTGTTATCTAGTTTGTTTCTTAGTTGACTAGGAGTTCTAACATAGGCACTAGAACCCCAAATTTTAATATTATATAGGTATGGTTTTCTACCAGTCCAGATTTCATGAGGTGTCAATTTATCCACTTTAGTTGGTATTTTGTTTAGAATATAAATTGATGTAGTTAATGCTTCACCCCAGAAATGTGTTCCTAGATTGGAGTGTGATAACATTGACCTTACCATGTCAAGTAGAGTTCTATTCCTACGTTCAGCAACTCCATTCTGTTGTGGAGTATAACTCATGGTTAATTGATGTTTTATCCCATTTTGTATACAAAAATCATTAAATAGATTAGATATATACTCACCACCTCTGTCACTTCTTAATATCTTTATTTTTCTTCCTAATTGGTTTTCTACCTCTAACTTGTATTCTATAAATTTTTCTAATACCTCAGATTTTCTTTTAATCAAATAAACATATCCATATCTAGAGCTATCATCAATAAATGTCACAAAGTATTCCATTCCCTTGTGTCTTGACATTTAGTGGACCACAAATATCTGAGTGTACGATATCTAACAATTCTTCTGATTTTCTTCCTTTATTAAATGGTAATCTRGATAATTTTCCACTAAGACATGGTTCACAGTATTTAAAGTTAATTTCCATCTTAGGTATTAAGCCACTTGAAGACATCCTCATCATTTTGTCTTTATTAATATGACAAAGTCTCATGTGCCATATATAGGCATTTTCATCCACATTATATACACAATCAAAATAAGCAGAAGAAACATTCACTTTATTAATAGATAAATGATACAGACCATCAGACTTAGTTCCAAACAATAAGACTCTCCCATGTTTTCCAATTGACACTTTTCCTCCCCTAAAACGAACTTCAAAACCCTTTTCATCCAAAAGGGGTACAGACAAAAGATTATGCCTAACACTAGGCGCATACATTACATCATTTAAGATAAGATTTGTATTTTCATTGATGACTATTTTCACTTTCCCAACACCTAGTACATCACAATAGGTATTGTTTCCCATGAAGATCCTATGTTCGCCAGGCTTCATTTCCTTCATCTCCATAAATAGTTCCTTGGATTTGCATACATGGCGAGAAGAACCCGAATCAATGCACCAAT